TACAGGAGTTTGTTGCAGATAAAAGAGACTGAGTTTTTTTTTTTTTTAAGTTTAAAAGGCAAGAACAAGGTGCCCCTGGGCCAGAGGAGCAGAAGCCGCAAATGCAATGGCTACACCAGCAACCCCAGGGACTAGAGGAAACAAGATGGCGAGAGGCAAAGCATTTGTTAATAAATTAGGAGAGGCACATTACATTCAGAGCCCAGGGAACAGCAAGAAAAAGGACAGTGCACAGCAAGAAGGGAAGGAGGAAAGCCCAGGAAGATGGCAGTGCAGACAGAAGAGCTCAGCTGTGCTCTTTACAGAGTCACCTCACCTGTATTTATCTGCATGCAGTCCAAAGCCAAGACAGCTGGGGATGCCCAGCAGGGGCAAAGAGTGCAGCTTCTTCCACTTCTCCACTAGGAGGGAAAAGAGTGCGGCAGATGCCAAGCTGTTTCCATACTGATCTGCCCCAGAAATGCCAGCCTAATGCGCCAGGGTGTTGGCATGTCAGTGCACGTAGCACTGCAGAGCAAGAATAAGACAGCAAGGATGCTGGGAATACCAGAGCAGGCTACAGCATGTGCTTGCTGTAGGGCTACATAAAACAGCAAGGGGAGAAGAGAGAGCCAGGAACAGCAATGGAGAAGCAAATTCTACAAACAGGTCTGCAAAGGATTTGAGTATAGCCCTCCCAGAAGAGTTCATTTGGCAGGAATTCCCCTATCATGTCTGGTCAGCTTTGTTGACTTTAAAAACCTGAGCGTGGGCAAAGTAAATACTTGACAGCAGCTGACAGAAATGCCTACAGAGGGGACACAGAAGGGAACAGCAGCCCGTTAGGTTGTGTGACAATACAGCTAAGGCTGACTAGAACAAGAGAGCTGCAAAATGCCAGTGCTGTGCCCTCTTAAGGTACACTGCTGGAGAGCAGGCCTAGGCTTGAATTGCTCAGCACTGGCACAGAGGAAGAAGCAAACTGGTTTATTCTAGTGCAGCCTTCTAAGAGACTTAGATAACAAATGAGAGATGACAGCTCTCCTAACAAGCAGCCTAGTCTTCACCCTGCCAAAGAACACCAACCTCTGTCTTTCTTTGCAGCTCGCTGGAAAAAGTTCTGTTCATTGTAGATTTTACTGTCTTTGACATCCTGAAAGAAACAGAAAGAAAACACATTACTTCAGCTACATAGTTCCTGCTAGAAAGGGAAATTTGGACACGATTGCTACACAATCTTCACTATACATTTAAAAGAACTTCCCCTGTCCCACCCTCTTCAGAAGAAAAAAAGAAAAAACAAGTAAGAGAACAGAGTTTGGGTCTCTTATCTCACTGTTTAGTGCTGCACATCAGCACAAAGCAAGGCAGCAGCTGCCTCACGTCTCACGCACCACCACTAAGAAGCGTGTAGGTTAACAGCAACAATGCAAACCAGCCCGGAGTGAGCTCCAGTCCTGAAGCTGTTGCATTAGGAGCCAGAGGCAGCCTTCTTAGCCACAGCATGAGTAGGTTATTTCTGCAAGCAGGTGAGTTCAAAAAGCAGCTGTTGTGTTTTATGCTAGCTGACAGAAAACAAGACAAGCAAGAAAGTCTGTAGTCACCACGTTTCCCAAGTGTCTGGGTGATGCTGAATTCTTAAAACCCATCCTTTTTACAGCAACCAGCATTACTGCTCTTTTAGTCCTGCTGCTAAGAAGTGACCCGAGAGCTCACAAACCAATACACAAGTCTGAGTGCCCACACACATTTACGTATGCATACATGAGTACTCAGCTCAGCACAGACTAACACGGGAGGGATGCTGTGCAGGGAGGAGGTGGGCGTTTCACTCCCTGCTGTGTTTGATACCACAGGTCCCACCCAAGAGGAGCTCTGCTTTCTGCAGGATCAGCAGTCTCCAGACAGCACAAATAACCACATCCCCAAAGATATCGTGCATCTTGCCTGGGAAGCCAATGTGAACTGTCAAACCCAGGAACTGAAACACCCTCTGCTGCAAAGCCAGGAGGTGCCAAAGGTGATGAGTTGCGAGTGTTATGCTCATAAGTGTGCAGAGCTCCTCACCTGCTGGTCCTACTTCAGTAGCAGTGAGCTGTCTCTTCTCATTAATAACACTGCTCTCACTCTCTGACACATTACTCTGATAGCAGAGTGAGTAATTTTACAAGTGTATGTGAGTGGGCACCACTACAGCCCCCACACAGCCATCATTCTGCCACCAAGCTGTAATCACAGAGCAGCTATTACTGAAAATACCACATTTCTGGAGATGCCGACCTGCTGGCAAGTGCCCAGGGACTCTGGCACTGCGTCTCTCAGTGCTGCTTCATGGCACTGCTTCAGCACAGCCACCAATCCTGCCATCCCCAGCTCCCCCAAGACTGCAGTAGCATTTGTGCACCTCATACCAAAACAGCACACCTGACACTAACAAAGCAGGAACCTCACACCACTGCATTCAATTCTAGAGATCACCCAGCCTGCTGGATGGAAGAGACAATCTCCTGGGATGAAGGTTTTCTGCTGTTGTTTTAAATTAAATTCTCCTAATTGTTTTTGCACCATTAGGGGAAGAGCCAACCAAGAAGCTCCTGGGAAGTTTTATCTGTTCTCTAAGCAACGGGACCCTAAGCTCCCTCACTTCTCTAAGGAACACACCCATGGCAATGAGGACGGTGAGTTGGTGCCCACTCCATGTACAGCACAGCCGTGGCCTTTCAGAGCACATTCTCTGCATTCATGGGACACTTTGGTGACACAGAGCAGACAGGTCAGGCCCAGGATGCAGCACTACACACTATTCCTTACCCAAGCGTATCAAAACTCACAAGTTTGAGGGAGAATCTTTGCTTTTGAGGGCAGGTTCCAGATGCTGACTGTGCTGTGGAAGGATGGAACAGATGTGGTTACAGAGCACAGAAAAGAGGCACCTGCGGTGTCAGCTGCATCGCTCAGCACCGCCTGCACAGCTGACTTCTGCTGATCCTCTGCTTCTTGGTCTCTGCAAAAGCATCTCTGTGACGGTGCTTACCAGTGCTTCTACAGAACAACTCTTACCTTGCTCTGGGGGCTCAGCACCCCGACATGGCTGCAGGTGCAGCACTGCTCAATTCACATAGAGCTACAGTAGTATGGGCTTTGTACATAAAGAAAAAATTGTTAGCAGAACCTCCAAGGCACCCACCATCAATTTGTGAGCGCTCCCTCCAGCTCATTTTGTAGTTTATCAGAGCTGGATGAGATCACGTCTGCAAATGCACAGCCTGCATTACGCAGCAGTGAAAGTGAGCACAAAGATGCTAAAGCCAAACATCAGGCAAAGCTTCAGAGTGGAGAAAACTCCTCCTGAGCAACTTCCAGGATTGAAACGTTTCTTTTGGAAGCCTACAACCACTCAGGCATGCACTCAGGTTCCCAATCACGTTCCTGCCTGCCCCGAACTGACGCGCGACACGGAGACGCGCGACCCGCAGGGCAGCAGCAGCGCAGCCAGGCCACTTTCCGCCGAGACGCACAGCAGCGTGAAGCGCTCAGTGCCAACGTCTGCGGTCCGGAGGCCCCGGGGTAGCGGACCCCCCCACCCCCCCGCCCCTCGGGGTCCCGCACCTTCGTAGAGCAGCCCGCAGCCGCCTCCCTGCTCCAGCAGCCGCCGCAGCCGCCAGCGCCCGGCGCCGCGGTCCCGCAGCTCCTCGCCCTCCGGGAGCGGCTCGGCGGGACCGGGCCGGGCCTTGCGGGGCGAGGGGGAACCGCGCCGCGCCGCGAGACACGGCGGGCGGGGCGGGGTGCGGGCGGCCGGCGGGGAGAGCACCGGCACGGCCGCGCTCCGCTCACCCCCGGCGGCGGCCGCGGGGCTCGGGGCCTGCGGTGGCGGCGGGCCGGCCGCGTCCCTCGGTGGCGGCGGTGCCGGCAGTCTGTCGCCGCAGGCCGGGCAGAACCTGAAGGTGGGCTCCACGCTGCCGCCGCACTGCGGGCAGAACCGGGTCACCCTGCGGGCACAGCACGCAGCGTCAGGGCCGGACCGGAGCGGCACGGCCCGCCCGCTCCTCGCCACCACCTGTGACCAACGCGGGGCGGCTCCTGCTGCTCCTCCTCCTGCTGCTCCTCCTGCTGCTGCTCCGCGCCGCCATCACGCGCGGCCCCGACCGCCCCACGGCCCCGACCACGGCTCCGCCGCCCGCGTCCCCGCATCGCCATCACAGCGCCCGGCCGGAGCGCGGCGTGCGCATGCGCACAACGAGGGGGGGGGGGGGGGGCCCCACCCAAGGGGGGGGGGGGGACGGGGAAACGGAAAGGAAAGGGAGGAAAAGGGAAGCGGAAGTGGAGAGAAAGGGAAGCGGAAGAACTGCGGTGTCGCTGCTGCCTGGAAGCCTTCCCAGGCCCTGGCCAAAGGGGGTCCCTCAGAAGCCACGCCGGTTGCTGGGGCTGCTTCCTGCACTGCGGCTCAGCCTCCAGCTCCCTCCTGAATCCCCCCATCGTTGTGTTCCCCTGTAAACCTCCTGCGGGCCCCAGCGTGAGTGCTGGGCTTCAGCACTGATTTATTAAGCCCCACCGTTACAATATATGCACACACATACTCACATTACTTTTTAAAACAGTGTTAATTTGCGTCACAGCTCTGTAATTCCAATGGTTGTTGCCTAGGGAGCAGTGATCACATGCTGACAGCATGCTGACAACACTTTGGGAAGAGAATATCTGGTAATCCAGAATATTAAGTGCTTTACCAAGACAAAGCACATAAAGCCATTAGGAGCCATGAGGAAAGTGGTGGGAAAAGGTGGGCAGGAAAGCACAAGTGGGGAAAGAAACCTTGAAGATTTCAAGAGCCTCCAGTCATAAAGCATGGAATGGCCTCGGCTGGAAGGGACCTCAAGGATCATGAAGCTCCAACTCCCATACTGTGCAGTATGCAGGGCACCAACCTCCCCAGTTAATACCAGACCAGGCTGCCCGGGGCCCCATCCAACCTGGCCTTGAACACCTCTAGGGACGGGACATCTCAGCCACTCTGGGCAGCTGTTCCAGCACCTGACTGCTCTCATAGTAAAGAACTTCCCCCCACTGGGCTGTCAGGAGATGAGTGACTCCACCGCCGTTCTTGGGCAACGGGATGAGAAGCAGGACTCAGATGCAATAAGGGATTGCCCTAACGCTCCAAGCTGCTGCCCCTTGCTGCCCATGGGCAAGCAGGGTGTAGGAAAGGAAAGGGATGTGATGGTTGTACTGGGTGTGCACCTTTTCACAGAATCACAGAATTGTAGGGGTTGGAAGGGACCTCCAGAGATCATCGAGTCCAAGCCCCTGCCAAAGCAGGTTCCCTACAGCAGGTCGCACAGGTCGGCATCCAGGCAGGTCTTGAACATCTCCAGAGAAGGAGACTCCACCACCTCCCTGGGCAGCCTGTTCCAGTGCTCCGTCACCCTCACTGTAAAGAAGTTCTTGCGCACATTTGTGCGGAACTTCCTATGCTGCAGTTTCCAGCCGTTTCCCCTTGTCCTGTCTCCACTCACCACTGAAAAGAGTCCGGCCTCGCCATTCTGCCCCCCACACCTTAGATATTTATAGACCTGGATCAGGTCCCCTCTCAGTCTTCTTTTCTCCAGGCTGAACAGACCCAGTTCACTCAGCCTTTCCTCATAGGAGAGATGCTCCAGGCCCTTCACCATCTTCGTGGCCCTCCGCTGGACTCTTTCCAAGAGATCCCTGTCAAATCAAGAGATCCCTTTTGTTCAAGGAGAAGAACTGCACCATGCAGCGTGAAACCTGAGGGAAGGGGGAGAAAGTGGGAGGTGGGGGTGGCAGCGCTGCGGTTGACACAGGCATTGTCCAAAGAAGCAGAACCCCAGAGCTCCCACAGGAGCCCAATGAAGAGTTTTGCCAAGGGGGGAGGAAGGAAGAAGTTTCAGGTTTGCTTATCAGTCAATGTCAATGATGTCAGACAGTTCCTGAAGGAGCTCGTCCGTATCCTTGTCAGTATCCATGTCAATTTCTCCTTCTAACCACATGAGAGAGGGATTGAGCGCACCCTCAGCAGTTTTACAGCTGGTACCAAGCTGAGCGGTGCAATGAGCCGCTAGAGGGAAGGGATGCCATCCAGAGGGACCTGGACAGGCTTGAGAGGTGGGCCCATGCCAACCTGGTGGCAGCAAGGTTGCTGCAATTGACAGCAGGGGCGTGCTGACCCCACACAGCTCTGGGCATCAAGGGCCAGGGATGCAGGCAATTGGCCCCCGGGGATGTCTGTCCCCTTGGGGTGCCACTGCTTGAGTCCCTGAAGCCGGGGCACAGCTCCCCTTCCTTCCTCATGCCACGTCCATCACGGCTGGCCTCCTCCCTCAGTGCAGATGAAGGAACCCTGGCCCTGCAGCCTGGGTTCAGAGCTCTGCCACCTGGAGCCTGAGCATGGAGGAGCTGTGAGACACCCGGCTGAGCATCGTCCTGGGGAAGCCCACAGAAGGGTTACTGCTTCTGTGTCCCCGCCTTGCCCTTCCAACCCAGTTCACACTCTGTCCCCCTGAGCAACTTCCCGTAACGCACCCTGACTAAGAGGCAGCGGACATCAGGTCTCCTTCCACGTGCTGTGGTGCCTTCTGCCAGCTTCTGCTGCTCCACAGGCCTTGGGAGAAACCTTCACAGTCATCTCAAAGATCCTGAAGCAGAAAGACATCAAGCACAAGGCTGAGACACACCAGAACTGGAAGATCAGGGTGTGTTGCTAGGGAAAAGACCACATCCCCAGGCCCTGGCTGGATGAGCCTGCCACACATGGCCAGGCTGTGGGCTGTGCAGCTGTGCCTGGCTGTGCAGTCCCATCTCAGAGCCCGCTGCCTGCAGCAGCATCCTTGCTGCCTTTCCTCCTGCACAGCCTTGGGAGCTCTCCTGCAGTGCCTTCTGCCATCCCCGGCCCCAATAGGCTGAAGGAGACCCTGGCCCTAAGGGGGCCTGAGCACCCTGGGATCCCTCTGCCTGCAGCTCACTCTGAATGTCGGAAGCAGGAGCTGAAGGCTCAGGAGGCCGTTGAAGAGCAGCACCATGAACCTGCATGACGCTGAGCAGACACAGCTGCCTTGCTTCTGTCCTGCCTCCCCCCTCACCTCCACCCTTTCCTTCAGTCACTGCCTATCAGGCCATGCACATTTGATGTCTTACAATTAATTCACATTTTGAGGTTTACTCTTTCTTCCCTCCCTTTTCAGCACCAGCTCGCAAACTATCAGGGATGCAGACTGGAAGCATATTTCACTGCCAAGCCCTCAGGAAAAGGCACTGTGCAGGACCAGCACTGGTGAGGGCAGTGGGAGGGCAGTGACAAAGGCATGCCCATTGCCTCCTCAGCTTACCCTGTGTCTGGAGGGCTCTGGGGTCTCACAGAGCACAGTCCCAGCTGTGCTGCCAGGGGTAAGCTTTACCAGCTGAGTTAGAAGATAAAGTGGCAAAGCTGTCACTGCACAAAGAAGTTGGAAATGCTGTTGATATACTTCACCAGCTGAGAAATTGCTTGAGTTCAAGGTGGCTGCCCAGCACTAACATGAAATATGATGTTGCAAGGTGATGACGGTAAGGAAAAATGGACAGGCATAAAAATACTTCAGGTGTCTTGTTGGCTAAAGGCAACCCACTGCGTGTGACCCAGTGAGATACTGCTGAGAGCGCAAGTACGGAGCTAAGTGAACCGGAGATCTGTGATTATGTCTGTCTTCTATCCAATAAGATACTTCATGTGGTAGAATGGGTATGGACTTCATCACAGTCAGAAGAGGAAAAGAGATGTAGAACTGAAGAATTGCCTCAAATCCCAACTAGTTGTAATGCTCACAGGACAGGAAGCAGAACGGTTCAGACAGAAGGAGACGGAAGAGAGCTCGTTCCATCATTGCCTCAAGAAAGAAAAATTAATGCTTGATAAGAAATATAAATTACATAGAAATTGACAAATAAGATGGAGATTCTGAACCATCCTTGGATACCATCGTTGAAGAAAATATTGAATCTAGAGGGCCTGTGCTGGGTTTTTCTGTTTTGAAGCACAGCTCATAAATATCTGAAGTGCAGGAGGCAAGTGGATGGGGCCAGGCTCTGTTCAGTGGTGCCCAGACAGGACAAGGGCAACAGGCACACTGGAACATAGGAAGTTCCATACAAACTTGAGGAAACATTTCTTTCCTCTGAGAGAGACAGCCCCAGAGCAATCTGCACAGAGAGATGCTGGGCTCTCCTCCTCTGGAGATGTTCAAAACCCACCTGGATCTTTCTTTCTGTAGGGAACTGCTTTAGCAGGGGGTTGGGTTGACAACCCCCAGAGTTTGTCCAGCCCCTTCAGGTCTGTGACTCTGTGGACTGCTGATTAATTCATAAGGTCTGTCCCAAGTTCTAACTTATAACATATCTGTGGTTTTAACATTGTTTCCTACCTCTTAGGCCTGTTACTTTCTGCCAAATTCCACTCATCCTGATTTGAGCTGGTAGGAGTTCAGTTGTTCTCCCTTGCTTCTTCCCTGTCTTTTCCCTTTTTCCTTTCTTCCTTTTCACTTCTTCCTTTTCCTTTCCACTTTCTTTTTCTCCCTTTTCCCTGCCTGGTTCCTGTATCTGTACATCCATAACTGTACCATCCTTACACTTTGCTTTTACTGTATGTTTATTCCAAAGTTGCACAGCTTTTGTTATTTCGTGGAGCTCTCGGAAGTCCTGGCTACAGTCCTGCCATAAAAACCTACATAGATCATTCTAAATCAGTTTTACAGAAAACTTGTTGAAAGTATTATCAGTTCCTTCCCCATGCCCTTGAAGCCCTTGTGCCAGTTTTCCCAATCTCAACACTTCAGTATTCTCCCTTAAAACTGGTCTGTGCTGGTCTGCCTTGCCCCCTGTTTATCTGGACTTTTTATCACCAAGGCTTCAGTCTCAGGGGGTCTTCAAGTCTCACAGACAGACTTTAAGTGTAATGCACGACGAATTAAAGCATGTGTTATTGTTTGCATTTTGTTTCCACTTTGATTCATTTACATGCAACATTTTCAGACTGTTGAATGATTCTGATGGTCTCAGGGTAATGTCTGTTATACTTCATTATGCAGTGGGCTGTATTTATTCTGAAAACAAAGGGAACAGGAGCGTTAATGGGTAATCCTTTAGTGTATTTTGCTGCATGCTTGCCATGCTTTGCTTGCTGACTAGCAGGCCTTCTCTGAGGCCCA